CCTATGATGCTGCTTGGCCTGCTGTGTTCATCCAGCCCTGCACCTTGTTGTCTCGGATTCTCCAGCATCTGCAGTTCCTACTATCTGTGAGTTTCACAAGATGTGTTATAATGAAACACCTGTTCTTGCTATTGGAAAAAATACATTTTACCGGGCGCAAATCAGTCTTAAAATCTTTTGTTGCAGTTTGCATTCTTGCGATGTCAGCCACTGATCTGCTTGTGTCATTAAAAAAAGAGCTGCATTTATTGACATGGCCACACCAGGGGGAGCACTTCCCACATCTGCAGGTCCTTATGTTCACATCACGGTGACTTCCTATAAGCAACTGCCTGCAATGAAAATGGTCCCCATTTTCACAGCATCCGCTCAGGCCGGTACACAACTTTGCATCTTCCTTCATGAACAGATGCTGCCTCTTGCTACCCTAATCCAACTCCACGCTGCCTTTCCCTTTTACCACCTCATTTACCAGCTCCATTGATTGCCTGTTTATTGTACTGGCCCCTTCATTGCCATGCTGACAGAATGAGTTCAGGTTGGAGCCGATTAGTAGTGGGACAAGAGTGATGAGTCAACATCAGGGAAGAGAGAGAGCTTTTGCGAGTAAGAACATCAAGGGGAAAGGAGAGAAATTGGGAGCAAGAGGGAGAAGGGTCAGCTGAGTTGGGGATGCTACAACTGCAGAGGGCAGACTTCCTGTAGCTATAGTTACAGCGCCTGAGATGTCAAAACCAACTTCCTGCATCAAAGATGGTAAAGATCTAACAAAGTCAGAAGAAGGGAATGTAACATTTTAGCACATGGTGGCAGAACTAGCAGCTATGCATCCCTTAAGTAAACAAATCTCACAATGACTTGTATGTTAATATATTATTATGTTAGATATTAAAACATATTTCAAAACAAAAGACCAGATTTTAGTTGGTTAGGCAGTGGTCCCCTTTGCAGGAGTGGAGGGACAATTGACAAATGTATGACTCTACATGATAAATCTATGTACAATAAAGTGCCTTATTTCAAGTTGTTGAAGCTGGAGAAGTTGAGAGCTTGGACAACAACTTGAAATTGTTATAGTTGAACGAGGAAAATGCTTGAGAGAAGTAGATCAATCCAGAGAAGGAAGTTGCCGTATTTGGATAAAAAGAGAGTTTTAGTCTTGCGGGGGCTGGAGGGAGTGGCTGAACAACAGGCGGGACAGTCCCTGAGCTGCAGGAAGTAACTGGCATCACTTTTTACAGGATGCAAACCTTTACTGGCACTAGCTTACTTAACCATGAGTAACCATGCGTGTGGTGGCATCAAGTGCATGTGCACCATTGTCGCTGGCTCCTTTTCAGTTCCTTAACTAAACAAATATAATCAGCTTTTAAAGCCTCTAGTCTACCATCCCTCCAGTGAATGCATTGTTATCCATGACAAGTGTTGTCATCTCCCAGCTTTCTGCTTTCTTTTCCTGTCATTTCAGAATATAGAAAAGCCAGGGATGTTTAGATCCCTTACTGCCAGTGTTTATGTCAAATCCACATTCTAGCAGCTATATCATAATTCCACGTGCCAGTCTTTGCATACAGCTTGTGAATCTTTCTGATAACATTCCTCACTGAGAATTCAATAACATGTGCATTCCAACATTACACTGGTTTTCTTTGCTGCTTCCTCATTTTGATTCCTGCTCTTAAGGGCGGTAGCTCTATAGGAGCACTACCATTGGCAAGATTCCTTCCAGGCCACACACCATCTTGACTTGGAATTATACCACTGTTCCTTCACTCGCTGAGTCAAATCCTGGAATTCCCTCCCTGAAGGAACAATGGCTGTACCTCAACCCTGTGGACTACAGTTCAAGGAGGCAGTTCACCACCACGATCTCAAGAGGTGGGCAGTAAATGTTGGTCTAGCTGGCAATGCCCATTCTCATTCAGCACTCGTTAATCTCTCCTCGAGGATGTGTCTCATCACTGTACAGGTGCAGCCTTGTCTGGCTTGTGCAGGTCTCTCCAGCTCCAGAACTGGTGCCCCAGAAATCTCCTTCCACGCCAATTCTCAGGCACACATTCACTTGCATTATCTCCCATACTGACTAGAACATGGCACTGGGTGTAGTCCTATATTTACCGTCTTTAAGGACCTGTTCTATTCATTTTCTGTCCTCAAAAACTTTGTGACAGTAAGAATCTCACTGTTTTACTATGTTCCTGGTTCCAAGACAAACCATAGCTTCTGGCCGATACCATGTGCACTACATACCCGCAACCATCAGGAAGTTAAGAGGACTATAGGGATCTATTAGGTACTAGTCCATAGATCCCTGAAGGTGGCAGGTTGATAAGGTAGTTAAAGCCAAATGTCCAGAATGCCTCATTATCAGTTGTGGCACAGAGTATAAGAGCAGGGCGCTTATGAAAAAGCTATACAAAACTTTGGTTTGGTTGCACTTGGAGCACTATATGGAGTTCTGGTTTCTGCAGTATAGGAAGGATGTGATTAAACTGGAGGGAGTTGAAGGGGAGATTCACCAGGTATGGTGCAGTTTAAATATGAAGGGAGGCTGGATAAGCCTGGGATTTTTTTTTAGAGCAGGGAAGGCTCAGAAAGACCTGATTGAGGTGAATAAGATTATGAGGGGAATGAACGGGATCTTGTAGGAATCCATAGAATCCCTACAGTATGGAAGCAGGCCATTGGGTCCACACCGACTCTCCAAAGAGCATTCCATCCAGACCCACGCCCTACCCTAAGCAGCTGTTCCCCATTGTGGAGGGGACAATAACAAGGGGTCACATATTTAGAGGGGATTTGAGGAAAAGCTTATTCACCCAGAGAGTGGTGGGAATCTGGAATGCACTGCCAGGGACAGTAGTAGAGGTAGAAAACCCTGGAACCTTTAAAAGGTGTACCTGAAGGAGCACTTGAACTGGTGAAATATTCAAGGCTATTGGGCCCAGAGCTGGAAAATGGGACTAGTGTAGATTTAGAAAAGATTATTTTGTCGCTGCAGACTCGATGGGCCAAAGGGCCCTTTCTGCATAGTTCATTTCTACGACTCTGTGACACTCTTCAAGCTCTGAACCCCTGAGCTTGAGCATTTGGTGGCACCTCTTGCTGAAAGGTCATCAACCTGAACTTGTTTCTGTTCCCAGGCACTGCCTGTTGTGCTGCTGGCACTGTTCTGCATTTATTTTAAATTTCCAGCTTGTGAGCCATTTTAAGTTTGTATTTGGAGGAAAACGTAGCTGGTCTCATTAGTAAGTTTACAGATGATATAAAGATTGGTGGAGTTGCGGATAGTGAGGAGGATTGTCAGAGGATACAGCAGGACATAGATCAGTTGGAGGCATGGGCAGAAAGAGGGCAGATGGAGTTTAATCCAGACAAATGTGAGGTGATGCATTTTGGAAGGTCAAGTATGGACAGAAAATATACAATGAATGGCAGAACGCTTAGGAGTATTGATATGCAGAGAGAACTGGGTGTGCAGGTCCACAGATCACTAAGGATGAGAGCACAGGTAGATAAGGTACTAAAGAAGGCTGATGGTATGCTTGCATTCATTGGAAGGGGCATTGAGTGTAAGGATAGAGAAGTTATGCTGCAGCTCTACAGAACTTAGTTAGGCCACACTGGGAATATTGCATACAGTTCTGGTCACCACACTGCCAGAAGGATGTGGATACTTTGGAGAGGGTGGGAAAAGGTTTACTGATGTTGCCTGGTGTGGGGGATATTAGCTGTGAAGAAAGGTCGGATAAACTGGGTTTGTTTTCACTGGAACACAGGAGGTTGAGGGGTGACCGGACAGAACTTTGTATGATTGTGAATCATGGTTAGGATGGAAAGTATGAGGCTTTTTTCCCCCAGGGTGGAGGGGTCAGTTACTAGGGGACACAGTTTCAAAGTGTGAGGTGGGAAGTTTATGATGTGCAAGATACCTTTTTCACACAAAGGGCAGTGAGTGCCTGGAACACGCTGCCAGAGGTGGTGGTGGAAGCAGGCACAATAGCAGAATTCAAGAAACACCTGGACGAATACATGAATAGGAAGGGAATAGAGGGATAAGGATTCGGTAAGTGAAGACAGTTTTAGTATGGAAAGACAAAATGTGTTGGTGCAGGCTTAAAGGGCCGAAGGGGTGGTTTCCTGTGCTGTATTGTTCTGTGTTCCTTGTTTGTTTTTTGAATGTTGATGACCAGAGAGGTTTGGACATCTTTGCACAACAAAAACAGGGTTAGCATGCAGGTACGTGCTTAGGAAGTCAAAAATGGTATGTTGACCTTTATTGCAGGGGGATTGGAGAACAACAGTGAGGAAGTCTTGCTGTAATTGCACAAAGCTTTGGTGAGACCACACCTGGAGCACTGTGTTCTTATCGAAGGAAGGATACACTTGCCTTAGATGGAGAGTAATGAAGTTTAATTGGACTGATTTCTTGAATGAGAGACATGTACAATGAGGAGAGATTGCATAGGAAGTGGCTGTCCTCTGGTGTTTTGAAAAATGATTGATGGCCTTATTGAAACGTAAAAGAGCTGAGATGGTCATTTCCCCTGGCTGGAGAGCCTAGCACAAGGGACATCATCTCAGGATAAGGAATTGGCCATTTTCGGTTAAGATTAAGAGAAATTACTTCACTGAGGTTTGTGAATCTTTAGAATTCTCTTTATCCAGAACGCTGTGAATGCTCAATCAGTGAGAATATTCAAGGCTGCCGTCAATAGGGTTTTGGACTCTAAGCAGCATGGAATAGGTCAGGAGCTGAGGCTACAGTCAGTTTGGCTATGATTTTATTGAATAGCAGAAGAGGCTAAAGAAGTTTTTGGTCCACTTCTGCTTTGATTTCTTGTTGTGCATGACAGAGCTCAGCAGAAAGAAATGATTTGGTTATTCATACTTTAAGGTCCAATAAAAACCATGTGGAAGTAGCTGAACCTTTCCGGTTAAGTACAGAAATGAAGTTTTATTGCACAGTGTCAGGTGACTGGATTTCTTCTTTTCATTAGGTGACGTGCCCGAGTCAGTCGCGTGCTCCCTGCATACTGAAAATAAAGAGCAATACCTGTTACTGTTGTGACCTTTATAAATGCGGCAGGTGGGTTTCATTTTAAAATCTCTTGGTTTGTACATTTTAAATTAATTTCTGCTCGACATGAGTTAACCTTTCTCTGTTTAGCACTGACATTTTGAATCTAATGTATCAAACAGTACATACATTTGGGATTGTTCCAAGTCCCATTCAACCCCATGCTCACTGACTGATGTTAGTAGCCAATCTGAAAGCATTTCAGTTTTAAGATTCAAGCCCTTGTTTTTACAGACTCTCACACACATACACTCGCTCTGTCTCTCGCTTTCACACACTGTCTCTCTCTTTCTCTCACGCTCATTGTTTCTCTCTGTCTCTCATGCTCACTGTCTCTCTCTCTCTCTCTCAAGCTCACTGTCTCTCTCTCTCTCACGCTCACTGTCTCTCTCTCTCTCA